GACATATTTGTTGTGGTTTGACTGACCGCCTCCGTGCACTAGGAGAGTGGAAGGTCATGGGTTTGAACCCCGGCCGCGTCATACCAAAAGATGTTACTTGTTGTTGCCCTGCCTGGCACTCAGTATTAAGGGGCCAAAACAAGGACTGGTCAGCTGGGAGTCAGTATACTGTGTCTGAGTGGGGTGCTCATGTTAAACTTTGGCATGGTATCTCAATGGGCAAGCATTGTAAAATCGGCATTAGTCCGGACAGGTAAAAGCAGCCACACACACAAATGCATGCCCGTCACTATATAACTGCAATAATCTTGGATGCAAAGTCACCTCACCTGTAGTCTGACTATTGTATGTCAAGATAGCGTTTTTGCAAGTCTGTGGGAAGTCTCAACAGCAACAAGTCAACTTGTTCCATACGGGGAAAAAATCTGTCGATATCAATCAGCTTTTCCAAAGTGGTACTCTTATGGTTTTTATTATATTTAATACACATGGTAAACGTTATGACTAAAATACATGATATTTGAATACATTGTTTTTTTGTACAACAGTATGCAATAATCCTTCTTGCTTCGATCATATAACAGTGTAGAAACATTGTGCAAACAATCCTCACCTCACGACCTCGCTCCCAGCATGCTACACTACTCATCACTTTTTCCTTCATCGCCCGTAGTTAACAGACTTGTTTTGCTTCCACTCTACATTTATGATTGGATTTGTTTTTCTTTTTGGTTGAGCTCAAGAGGTCATGATCCCTCCAGCCTTTGCCCTGACTGACTGGTCCCCTGCTCCTTGGACCAGCGATGCTCTGAGTGTACCCACTTATCCTCCGACCTTTTCTACATTACACCTTCGGACTCCGTCCTTCAGGCTACCTCACCTGCTTTGTCGCCTCTTTCACGGTCGTCCCCTCCTCGTATCTGTTTGCTACGGAGCTTGTCCAATGGGTACTACGATGGCTTTTACCTGTACTGCCTGTGCTCTTCAGCGACGTCACCTCGCCTTCTGTTGTCTGCTGCTGATGCCTATTGATGCCTTTAGACGCTCTTTAGGCTCAGGCGCCTCTTTAAGCGAACACCATCTGTATCTCTGGATTATTTGCAATGGTTATTGTTACCAGTGGAAAGTCCTACCTCTCTACAGGCCCTTTTCACTCGTATCAGCAAGCCCCTAGGGATGTTCCTACATCAGCAGTTCGTACATAGACGACTGCCTGATGAGTTCTCGTCTCGGATTTACCCACCGATTTCTTCACCATCTTGTTTGGCAAATCAACTTCGAGAAGTCAAGAGTTGATTCCCTCCCAGACCCTTCACTTCATCGGGGGAGGGGCTATTCAACTCACATCAAGGTCTCCTCCTCGCCTCTGGTCCAGACAGACCTGTCGACAGGACTCCTGATTCACAGTTGGCCTACTTGGCATGCTCACATCAGTGTAGGATTTGACTTGCCACGGACCCTGCAGTTATATCCTCTGCAGATTTTTCTTCAACCGTGGGTCGATCAGGACACGCCAGACCTGGTTGTAGCTCTCCCAGCCTCGCTTAAGTCTTACCTCCATTAGTGGACCCTTGGGTCGAACATCTACGAAAGGGTCTCTTTGACCGACTTTGTTCCCTCTCACCACCTGCTTTGAAAGAAGGGTTGGGGACCCATCTAAGGGACCTATGTGCCTCAGGATTGTGGACTGTCCCGTTTCTCCACTGGCACATCAACTGTCTGGTGTTTCAAGCAGACATATTGGCCATTCAGACATGGCGGACGATGTTGCGACGGAACTCGCCTCATGACAGCGACGGACAAGGTCTCGGTTGCTCATTACATCAACTGGATGGGATGAACTCACTCACAGTCTCCTGACCTCATGTTCACGGTCTATCATTTCAAAGACGGCGTCCCGTTGGAGGTGAGAGCTCGCCACATCCCGGTCATTTCTAACGTTCTCCATGATGCCCTATCTCAGTCCAATCAGGGCCGCCCAGACGGAGTGGCAGTTACAGCCAAATGTTTTCCAGATGCTTTGCCAGACCTTTGGCCACCCAAACGTTGACTTGTACGCCACACGTTACAACAACCAGCTGCAGACGTCTGTGTCTCCAATACCAGACGCTCTGGTTTTTTTTATCACGATGCACTCGCCATGGAGTGGAAGGACCCCCACGCAGATGCCTTTCCACCTCTGGCGCTCCTTCCCCGTGTTCTCCACAGGAAACATCCAGATTCTTTTGGTAGCGCCTAATTAGCCCAGTCGGACTCGCCGGAGAGCCAGACTTAAGACTTCCCGTATTTCCAGGTCTGCTCAGAAATCCATACATTTGTCAACCACACCTGTGTCCAGAGTTGTTGGATCACATTGACGTCTAGGGGTTTCTCTACAGCTGCGGCTCATGCTACGTGTCAGACGCACCACCCTTCTATGGCCTCCTTGTATGAGCAGAAATGGTTATCTTTTGAGACTTATTGTCGTTAACATGATATGGATCCTACTGTGGCTTCTACTCCATTCATAGCTGATTTTTTCGTCTACTTATGCGAGACCAAACATTTGTCAGACCGTTCCATTACCAGTTGTCTCGGCCATTAACTCGGTCCTCTGTGTATCCAGCTTGCCAATGCTTCTGAAATCGCCGCCATCCTTCGGAGTTATTGTAGAGCCGATCAGCTCATGATCCTCCCCAGCCTTTGCCCTGACTGACTGGTCCCCTGCTCCTTGGACCAGCGATGCTCTGAGTGTACCCACTTATCCTCCGACCTTTTCTACATTACACCTTCGGACTCCGTCCTTCAGGCTACCTCACCTGCTTTGTCGCCTCTTTCATGGTCGTCTCCTCCAACGTATCTGTTTGCTACGGAGCTTGTCAAATGGGTACTACGATGGCTCTAGCCATTACTGCCTGTGCCCCTTCGGCGATGTCACCTCGCCTTCTGTTGTCTGCTATTGATGCCGCAGGCGCCTCAAGCACCTCTTTTAGCGCACACCGTCTGTATCTCCAGATTATTTGCAATGGTTGTTGTTACCAGTGGAAAGTCCAACCTCTCTTCAGGCCCTTTTCACTCGTATCAGCAAGCCCCTAGGGATGTTCCTACATCAGTGGGGAATCCTCTTCAGTTCGTACATAGACAACTGCCTGATGAGCGATCCCTCGTCTCCGTTGTTCTGCCTTTTTGGTTACATTCAACCATTTTTCAGGCTTATGCCCATACTGCCATGGATCCGCCTAGGGCTTCCCATCCACAAGAAATTCTGGTGTTGGCACCCTAAATGGCACTCCACAACATCATCTCCGTCACAGACATCGTCCGAGGTTGTTTTTCGCCAACTTCTACTCCGAGATCTGTGCATTAAACTCTGTACCAAGGTTCCTACGTATTCTAGTACCTCCAGTTGCAACATAATTAAGACCCAGCCTTACCTGTAACCAGGCATAGTGGTGATGTATTACGGGACTAGTGAAGTTGAACATGACCATGGTTTGAAGACAAAATGGCAGTCTAGTCTAGTCTAGTCCGTGCTCTGGCCCGACAACTCAATTGCAAATGGGGATATGCAGTTGAGGTTTAAAAATATAGGGAATCAGAGTATTGTACTTATCCTGACACAACAGGTCATGACCCCCACCCGTCCACCCCCTAGCGTTGGATCCACTTGTCACCTGCCTACGGGTGATCATGGAAAAAGTGATGAGTAGAGCAGGAGCATGCTGGGAGCGAGGTAGTAGGAGGATGTGTTCTGGTGAGGATTGTTTTCACAATGTTCTACACTGGTATATGATGGAAGCAAGAAGGAATATTGCATACTGTTGTGTCAGGATAAGGATATAAATTAAGGGAATTCTCTGATTCCCTATATTTATGATAATATAATGGTTTCAATATAATTCTTTGGATCGTTGCATCAAAATTCTTGAAGTAATATTATTGTTTGTTTTTTAGCTGTTTTTTAATAGAAAATGAGTTGCTATTTCCAGCTTTGTTTACGTAAAATATAAACGGTAATCTTCATTTCTGCTTATTAAGCAATGTGAAGCAGAACTGGAAATACAATTTAAATGGTGAATCATCATATCTACTCATATTTTATCTCAAATTTCACTTTTCTATTAGCCAATTGAAGTTTGTTATCCCCTGAATACCCTGAAGGGATATTATGTAGTTTTTTACCATGCATAATATGATGTTGACCGATAGCGCTCGGTGACCCCTGCATGCTGTGTATACACTAATCAATAACAAAAACACATGTCAGTCTGGCTGCACCTCTTTATTTCATATCGTTAGTTATGATATCCAGTCTCAGATTGTAATGTCCAGCAAGTACTTTTTTGAAAATATCTAGTTGTCAAATTTCGAAATGTCTGGTTTGCATTTTTTCTAATAGGACATTTTGATTTCACAACTGGCCAAGTCCGGCGCACAGACCAGTTTCTGGATCCCTGCTTACAAGTGTAAACATTTACTAGAACATAGAATATAAATCTTTCAGAAATGTAGAAGGCATGAAAATGTGCTTAAAACCAGCAAAGGGGAACTCATATGTTTTTTTATTAATGACGTGAAGTGCTGCATCACAGGTTACTGAATGTATAATTGTGTGATCCTAATCATCAGCCTTTACCTGGCATTCTGCTTATAAAACCAGAGGTGTTGGCACACAATATTGTTGATCATCTTTCATGAGCTTCCATCCTTGGCTAAAATACCCTACACTTCATGTGTGACTCTTGAATGTTCTGTTAACCTCCGCCTCCACCCCTGTACTTGCATGATCTACCTCCCAGTTCACTCAGCAGGGATGCACTTGATATGGTTCTCAGCCAGCTGGGCACACTCAAACTTTTTGGATTGCCAATACTGTCATTCATGATACTAGCTTCACAACCTGCTCAACTGTTGTCTCTGATTGCAATAAGTGCATTCCTGCATGTGTGTCTGTCTGATATTTTATAATCTTTGTGTGCATGGCTCTAACCTCTTTAGTTGCTTTGCTTTGTCCCAACTAGTCAAAGAAAGGCGTAGAGGAGCGCCAGTCATCGGCTCCTGTCCGGAGTGGCCGGAGGAGCCTGGACAATAGGCGCAGATCAGGGGAGTCTGCAGAGAGACGCAGGTCGTCTAGCGTTATCAATGGCACAAGCAAATCACGTGATTCGTCAGTAGATAGCGTTGTCAAGAAGGTGAGAACCTTGGCAACAACATTGTCATAGTAATGATGAGCGTAATTTGGAAGGTTTGTTCTGTCTAGTGTTGCCTGTTAAACACATGGAAACCAGTAGCAGCTCAAGTGAGTGACTGGAAGGGTTAAATGTGAAGCATGTTTGAAACACAGCTCAATCATGTATAAGGAAGGATGATATGTGTTTAAACCTCACCTGCACCAAAGGTTCTTGTGAGCTTATGTATGGTCTATCGTCTGTTGTGCAGTACTTTTACCATGGCATTTTAGATGCTTTCTTTCTGAATCATCCCCTAAATCAACTCTGGTCAAATCTGTTAGGTTGGAAATTTGTAATTTAGAATGACAGAAAATGTCTTTGAAGGAACTTCTTCTTAAACCCAAGCAATGGACACTCACAAACACTGTTTTTCCTGACTGAGCAGTCTGAAATACTGCATAGCTGATCAAGAGGGAGTATTGTCAAATTTACAAACATTTGGTTCTACTTGTGTCACAATGCTTTGACTTTTATGTGTTGAATTTTATGACATCATTATAGTGAAAAGTACTTTAGGACAAAATATTTCAATGGCAGTTTCATTTGCTCTTAGGTAATCAGTATGAAGAGTAGCTGTGATAATTAATTATTTCTTTTCCTGTAGAAATTTCCTCCTTCACTTCGATCGTATAACACTTAACCCCAAACATGCCTCTTCTACATCCAGGGTGACCGTTGCCCTTGATCCCTATTTCCTTCTCATCTTTGAGCAAGCTGAGATCTGTCTATGGCATATCAAGCCGAGGAAGACCCAGCAAGCGTAGATGGAGAGTTTGTGGAGAGAGGCAGCAGCCATGGTTACAATCTCCGCATTGATGATTATGGCAACGACATCACTGACTGGTGCTGTTTCCTCCCCTGGACAGATGTTTCAACATCTACACTATACTATCTACAACCTTGAGCCAGGTGTTTGGCTCACTGGATGTCATTGCCACCAGGACTGTTTTGTACCAGCATCTGTATTGTCAATGATTTGTCCATGGCTGCAAATGTCTTTCTTGCCATGGAGACACAACCGTGATATGGCATTGGTGACTGGTTCTGTTCCCTGACTTGGACAGGCGCCTTCACTCTCCATGCACTCCAAGCACATTGGTGTCTCGGATGCTAGTGTACCAGGACTGTGCTACACCAGCACCACTCCTTTTCCTGTATCGTAGGACACCAAAGGGGATTCTACTGCAAGACAAGAGGATTGATCCTATGTTCATAGCTAACTACTTGCTGTGAGCAGTCAAGAAGTTACATGCGGTACCATAGGGATATTGTGAGCCATCACCCCCGTCCTAGCATCTCTGGGTCTAGCACAGTGATGGGGATAAGAGCCATGATGAAGCTTGAGGGTTGGAAGAAACACCTATGGCCAGGGACCTATGAGTAGGCCAACACCAACTGGTGTCACAGCCATACGAACTGATATAGAAGACAGTGGAACAGTCTCTAACCCAATAGACTGTTTTTCATATGCTTGGTTACGGCAGCTTGTATTGGGGGAAATGATGCCTTTGTGTAATGCCGATAAAGTTTAACAGGGGACCAGATGCCAAGTGTCACATAGGCCTCATGGGGCATGTTGTCATGAAACACTCACAACTAGGGGAGGATGCAACTGTCACCAGCACTGGGGCATGACATTGCTTAACTTGCATTATGTCCATTTCGTGGAAGACTTGGAAGATGTCATAAAGATGTCTTTGGTGAATGGACAGCTTCTTGGCCAACTATTAAAGCTCTTGTTGATATCCGATACACCTTGAGAATGCCAGCACAACACTTGTGAAAGCATTCAGATTGTCATTACAGTCTCCTGCTGAGTGCCAGATACTTCCCATGTGCCACAGTAAGTAATCAGGGACTGTTGGGCTCTTGTTGGTTGTTTGCAAAAACTTGAAGTTCTGATCCTCTGAGCGTCACATATCGGAAGCTGCACAGATACTTGACCATGGAGTATAACTTGGCATATTAGATTAAGGATGTATGATCTAGTCTAGTCCAGGCATAATCCGGCACCTGTTACCAATAACGCAAGCTGCAGATCCCACCTCCAACTGTGGGATAAACGTTGCAATGTGTTGTGTCAGGATAAAAATTTATCTACATTAATGCTGTATCCGTGATAATAGTACAATTATCCTGACACAACAAATCCCGTCCCTGTTCCGATATCAAACTATGTACTGATGAGAGTGTCATGAGGGATCAAGAACAGATAACTCTGATTGGTAAGCAGTGGTAACACGCACCTCAGATGTAGAAGAGGGACATTGTGGGTTCTGGTTTATATGAAATTGCAATGTGTTGCAATAAGTATTCTGATATCATGAATATCAAAATTCATGTAATATTACAACTTGTAAAATATTTTGTCTTTAGAGCCTCTATAAGAAATTAAAGTTGACCTCTGAAACGTTTTGCCCACTACTCAGCCATTTGTTTTTATATCAATGCTCAGATGACCATGAATTAAGTGTGTGGAATGTGCAAAGAATGTGTGATATCATATTGTCAGGTCCATTGCACAGAGGGTATTGGCTGTTTTTTTATGTATAAATGTGTCATTGACATGCAGTGAGAATGTTTATAATGAAGAAACATGGGATTGTGATTTGTCGTTTGATTTGTTACTTTTCTGTTGACTCTATTGATCTTTAAAAACAAAAAAAGAATTCTATCTGTGATAAGTGAGCTGCAGAGTCTTATGGCTATGAGTTGGTCTTTGACATGGACCGCTATTGTTAATGCTGAACTTGAACTCCAGGCCTTGTCTTGGTTCAGATGGTAGCAGGAGTCCATGACAGATAAACTGTGCCCATCAACACATATGCTCATTTCTTGTCTAAGATAGATTATTGCTCTACTATATATTATTCTCATGAATATCACTGGAAAATACCCATAGTTTTGGAAAATGTTTTTATATTATCCAAGTAGATATTTAACTCTTTCACAAACCACGTATGAAGATTTCACCATGTTGCGTGACCTGTGAGGCTTAGTATTGAAGATATTCTTAATGGGGAAAAGGGATGTGGCTTCTGTTGCAGTCAGTGTTTCACCAAGCTATTATGGAGCATTACAGCAAGGTTTGGTTATATGTCCAAGTATTGATAAATCACAATTCAGATATTCTTGAGATGTTAGCATGAAGCTTGACATCAGCATGTTTGTGTTCTTGCTTGTTTAAAATCTTCAGTGAAACTCATTTGTCATCTTTGTTTTATAAGTAGTTTGTCCACATTGTTATAACCAATGCCCTGGAACCATGTAAGACATGGCTGACACACAGCCTCATTGTCGAGGAACAGCATACATGTGACTCGTGTTTCCCAGGGTCCACATGGTCCAGGCTGTTAATTACAACAATGTGGAGGTACCGAGGGGGAAATGTTAGTCCAGATGGTGATGCAGGATTGCTTCATCAATAGTCAGGCTGGTATTTCAATGGTGTTCAATGTCTTATATTTGTGGGAGACGCACTGCTGTGATGGGCAGGTAAGCTCATCTCTCACATCAGACAATGGTCAAGCTAAACATGCATCCAAGGAAATGCAATCATACCTTTCCGGCCAGACACAGTATATAGTAAGCTGATAACATTTGCAGGTTTATTGAAAACATGTTCTAAAAATGATATGAGATACAAATGAACTGATTGCAACTGATGTTTTAAGAACATTCTCATTGGTGAAATACCAGCCTGACAATAACTACATGCTACAATGGTGTCCGAGAGTGCAGTGAGTCTGGGGACCATGGAAACACGGTGTAGAGAGTGTATGACATCAACATGTATGTGCTAACTGCTTCAGGTGACCGAGGAAGCTAGGACACATTCAGATAAACAGATGTACAGCTTGTTAGGAAATCATGCCCTGAAATTTGGCTGAAGATGACATAAGATTTCCTGCCTGCAATATTTATCAAAGTTGGCGGCACATCCAGTTCAGTGTGGCAAAAGGCTGTATCATGCCGCATATTCCATTATGTATAGCATAAGGCAGTGTCATGCAGTATATTCCATTATGTATAGCATAAGGCAGTGTCATGCAGTATATTCCATTATGTATGGCGTAAGGCAGTGTCATGCAGTATATTCCATTATGTATAGCAAAAGGCTGTATCATGCCGCATATTCCATTATGTATAGCATAAGGCAGTGTCATGCAGTATATTCCATTATGTATGGCGTAAGGCAGTGTCATGCTGCATATTCCATATATTTTTTACTTATCCTGCATTACTCCTTAATGCATTCACTGCTTACTTATGACAACTAGAAGGACAGCGCTGCGAAGGTCCTGGGTGAAGAAATTAAATTGTTGTTCTCAAGTCCCAATCAGTGGCCTTCCGTCGCTGTCCTGTGACCTTGATGACACCTAAGGTCATCTTCACATCACTGCTTGTTGCAGCACAGCTAGGACGTGTCCCAGCGGAGCTCTCCTTTAGGATTAATTTTAGACCTTCAGTTTTCGTCTACAATACAATGATCTGCGATGGGTTATGTATTCTTTTCATATTACTTTCACCATGTTGTGTAGTTTTATGTGAATTAATTAGGCGTGAAAAGACTCTTGTCTTTTTTCCTGCCACAATATTGTTAATCGCCGCCATTTTGAATTGTGTTACAATCGTTTGCCTGCCAAGGTAGTCATATTGTTTACAATTCTCAGCTACGTATGTATAACATATTCTTATGTTCTTAAATACTACTAGCTTTGGCGTAACAGTGAGTTGCATATACTCAAATTATTGTATACTTTTTCAACTCGTTAAAAATATGGTTGCCGATAGATTAATATCAAATCTACGGCTTTCTTCCAGTCCCGCTTCATCAACAATTCTTTTATTGCGTACCTATGTTTATGCGATTAAGTAGTTTTTTGTTGGTCTTTTTGGTTCACATTGAGTTGCGTACATATGTACTATTGTATACTCTTGCAACTCGTAGTTTTGCCGAT